GACGTTTGGATATTAAGATTTAGATATCTAAATTTGAATATTACATGTGAATTGTTAAGATTTGTATTAAGATCTGCATATTTTAATGAAGACTGCTTTTTTTAAACATCTAATATACAAAATTTAATTTGTTTAATTTAAAAAAATAATTAATACAAAACTAATCGGATATTATATATGTACAATATATTTTTTTTTTAAATATATGATTGGTGGTGGTAATGGTTATCTAGCAATGATGGTTGTAGATGTCGATTGAGGATGATGTTGGCTAATAGTTGGGTGTACGTAGTAGATAGTATTGATGGTTGTAGTTGATTTTGATAGTAGCAGTTAATTGTTATTATTTCATACAGTTACTTTAATCTAGATTTCGATTTTCTACAATAAAAAAAATGATCTTTTCTAAAATAATAATTATTACTTGAGTGATCAGAAATCAACTCATGAGGATTATGATTATTGTTGATGAATGGTGGTACGTAGTTAATACTAACGTTCGATAATAATAATAATAAAAAAATTGATAATGATAGATGGCGTTGGTAACGGTGAATGAATGTTATATATGCTTTAATAATTCAAACATATTCCATTATTGGAATATAAAAAGCAAAAAGAATAGAATAAAATAACAAAAAAGTAGATATGCTACTACCAAGAAAATTCTTTAAAATATTCCACATCTAAAACATTACTAAAATATCAAACTTACATATCTCTAAGTTCATTCAAATTGAAACTCACTCAACTTTTTGCTTACTTGCTGTGAGAAAAAACAAAATGTCAAGCTCTAAAAATGGTGTACATATCTTAATTTTTCCATTTCCAGCACAAGGTCACATACTTGCCCTTCTTGATTTAACTCATCAACTTCTTCTCCATGGCTTTAAAATCACTATTTTAGTGACACCTAAAAATGTCCCGATTCTTGATCCTCTTATTTCTACACATCCATCTGTTGAAACTCTTGTTTTCCCATTTCCCGGTCACCCATCTCTTCCCGCCGGTGTTGAAAACGTTAAGGATGTGGGAAATTCCGGCAATGCCCCAATTATTGCTGGGCTTAGTAAGCTTAGTGGCCCAATATTAGAATGGTTTAAGGCCCAATCAAATCCTCCTGTAGCGATTGTTTATGATTTCTTTTTGGGCTGGACTTTAGATTTGGCCCAACAAGTTGGTGTGCCCGGAATTGTATTTTACGGTGTCGGGGCTTTATTGGTTTCTATACTTGTTGATCTTTGGAAGAATTTGTGGGCTTATAAAGGTTTGGGTTTTGTTGAGTTTAATGGGCTTCCAAAAAGCCCAAGGTTTGTGAGGGAACATCTTCCTTCAGTGTTTCTCAAGTTTAAAGAGGATGATCCAACTTGGGAGATTGTTAGAAATGGGTTTATTGCAAATGGTAGGAGTTTTGGGTCAATTTTCAATACTTTTGAGGCTTTGGAGAGTGATTATTTGGGCTTTTTGAAGAAGGAAATGGGCCATGAGCGTGTGTATTCGATTGGGCCGATAAATTTAGTTGGTGGGCCGGGTAGAACTGGGAAGTTTGATGATGGTGCAAATGAGAAAATTTTCTCTTGGCTTAATGAGTGTCCTAATGAGTCTGTTCTTTATGTAGCATTTGGAAGTCAAAAGTTATTAACAAAGGCCCAAATGGAGGCCTTAACTATTGGGCTTGAGAAAAGTGGAGTGAGGTTCATTTTAGTAGCTAAACAATTGACAGCCCAACAAGAAGAACAAGGTTTTGGATCAGTGCCAAAAGGGTTTGAGGAGAGAGTCTTAGGGAAAGGCCTAGTAATAAAGGGTTGGGCCCCACAAGTGGAGATATTGGGCCATCGAGCCGTTGGTGGATTTTTGAGCCACTGTGGATGGAATTCTGTGTTGGAAGCAATAGTGGCGGGAGTAGTAATTTTAGGATGGCCCATGGAGGCCGACCAATTCATAAACACGTGGTTGTTGGTGGATAATATGAAGACATCGGTCCGAGTTTGTGAGGGCTCAGACTCGGTGCCTGACCCGATAGAGTTGGGTCGGAAAATTAATGAGGCAATGAGTAATGATTTGTTTAAGGAGAGGGCCAAAAAAATGAGAGATGAAGCACTTGAAGCTGTTAAAATTGGAGGGAGCTCTAAAAAGGATTTGGATTCCATTGTAAAAGAGTTGGCCCAACTAAGAAGTTGAAAATTCATGCAAATGGGCTAAATAATTTTATGTTGGGCCAACTTTTAATGAATTTGGTTGGGTTTAGATGAACATTTGATAATGTACTCTTCAACTTTAATATAAATGTATTGTATATGATGATGTGTGGGAGAAAAATGAGACAAGTTGGCCTTGTCCATTTTACGTGCTATTAATTATCAAGATGTCTCATTATTTTTTTTACAAAAATAAATGTCATTTCTTTTAATGCATTAGTTGTGTTAAGATGAGTTCAATTTGTGGATTGCAATTTTGACCTGTAACATTCATACTACTTGAGTTGAAGGTCTATCGAAAATAATTTTTGTATCTTTACAAGATAGTGTAACTATCAGATTGCAGAGGGTATAAGGAATTTTTTTTCATCAACACTTAAAGGAATAAAATTCAACATATGCTATAAATAGATTATGAGTGAAAGTTCAAAAAGTGTAAGAATAAAGGTAAATAACTTCTTAAAGCAAGATAGTAATTTATATTTTAGACAACATTTCAAGCAAGAAAAAAAGTAAGAGAATAAAATTAAAGGCCACAACATGTGGAAGACTAAAAAACTATCCTAGAATATTTGTCACTATAGAAATTCAACACCTAAAGTTGATAATTATTTTCAAATATACCGTTAAATCTAAAAAGACATATAGTAATAAATAAGTTTAACTTAATAAATTATATCTTGTATTTATTATTTTCTTAATAGACATAAAGCGAGTTAAAACGAAACCTTCTTATTACTAATTACTAAATCCATACAGAAGTTAGTTCATGAATTTCACTATTCACATGACACTAATAATAATAAGAAGAAAAAACTTAAAAATATCAAAATTTACATGAAGAATTATATATTATTATTATTAGTATTATCATTATTATTAGTATTATTATTATTATTATTATTATTATTATTATTATTATTATTATTATTATTATTATTATTATTATTATTATTATTATTATTATTATTATTATTATTATTATTATTATTATTATTATTATTATTATTATTATTATTATTATTATTATTATTATTATTATTATTATTATTATTATTATTATTATTATTATTATTATTATTATTATTATTATTATTATTATTATTATTATTATTATTATTATTATTATTATTATTATTATTATTATTATTATTATTATTATTATTATTATTATTATTATTATTATTATTATTATTATTATTATTATTATTATTATTATTATTATTATTATTATTATTATTATTATTATTATTATTATTATTATTATTATTATTATTATTATTATTATTATTATTATTATTATTATTATTATTATTATTATTATTATTATTATTATTATTATTATTATTATTATTATTATTATTATTATTATTATTATTATTATTATTATTATTATTATTATTATTATTATTATTATTATTATTATTATTATTATTATTATTATTATTATTATTATTATTATTATTATTATTACCATTATATTATTATTATTATTTTTAAAAAAACATTCACGAGCGCACTAACACCTAGGTCAAAAGGAAAAGAAAAAAAAAGTCATAAGGCATGATTATAAATTTGTTCCCCAATATATTAACAAACTTAGGTCCACAATGTTATGAATACTTGCTTTAAAATGGGGTCGTTTTAGGTTCTTTTTTATTGACTTGTAAATTCTTGTAATTAATTTAAAAATATTTAATCAACAACTTCCTTAATTTTTGTGCTAAGTGGGATTTGTTTTTCATAATATCTTATGAAAGATCCTTCCACTTCTTTTGACTTTTAACATTTCCTGAGAGAACATTTAATTACTGCTCTAAACACATTTTACTTTTGGATAACCATGTTTAAACCTCATGATTCTTACTTGGATATCACTTAATATCATTTACATAAAATTAGACAACAAAGTGGCTAATTCATAGTCTTAGACATCACAATTACTCTCACTTGTTCATTTTTGCTTGTTACGTTTTGCTTCTCGAGAGTCAAACAACATGAATTTTGATTAATATTTTAAAATGTATTTTTCTATCGTATTAATATAAGAAGGATTGCAACTTATAGTTTTTTTTTTTTGTATAATTTTTGAACATCTAAATTTAAAATTAAAATGTTAAATTAATCTAATTCAATTTAGCTTTAAAGACAATTCAAGTTGACTCTCGTAAAACAAAGCATGACAAGTAAAAGTGAACAGAGGAATTCAACATTACTTGAGATGAAAGATCGTGGTTTTGGAGGTAGCTGATATCATTGGCGGAGTCAAGCTTCTGAATTTATGAGTTATGATTTATTAATTAAATTGTAACTCAAATATTAAGTTTGGAACAAAACAATGGAGTTCTTTCAAATAGTAGAGTAACTACATATACAAAATAGCGATAAGTTGAAATTTTTTCGTTGAAAAATTATATTATATATATATATATAAAATAATGTATATTTATAGATATCAAACATTACTTTCTATAGATGTACATCAATTATTAACATCCTAATCAATATTTCTAGTACCTAATGAAATATTCAAAGATGTGCACCTACTCCTAGATTTTTTATTAAAAGAATTAAGTGTTAATAACCAAAAAAAGATCTACACACCAAAAAATAAATATACATAAAAGATTCTCAAAATCTAAATTTACCTCAAACTAATCCACTTACTTAAATTAATTTGATTTTATCATTAAAGTACCTTTAATCCCATTTAATTAGTCTTAAACTTTTTTTTTAATTAGCACACTTTTTTAAAGCCATTCTCTTTTTAAAGACAACAACTCTCCTCCATAGTCCATTTCTCCATTCCTTCAACAAAAATAGCAAATTCCCAAAATCATCAAAAAGTTATGTTCTTGAATTTTTTTTCACTTAGACAAAAATTTGTATAAAAAAAATGGGTGGTGTATCATCAACAATTGCATCAAAATTAGCATTTTTTCCACCAGAACCATCCTATCAAGTTGATTTAGATGAACAGACACAAAAATTGAAACTTTTAGGTGTGTCTCAAAGTGAAAAAGGTGAAGTTTCAATTCTACAAACAAAGAGAGGTCATTATATTTTTTCAGTTTTTGTTAGGAACAAAGGTGCAACAATGACACTTCTTTATTCACATGGAAATGCTGCTGATATAGGCCAAATGTTTCAATTTTTCATTGAACTTAGTGATCGATTACGCGTAAATGTCATGGGGTAAATTAATTGTCTAGAATGTTCATATGATTTTTTTTTGTATTTTTTTGGTATTTTCTTGATTTAAAGATGAATTTTGATTGATTTTTGTAGATATGATTATGCTGGATATGGAAGGTCTAATGGAGAAGTAAGCAATTTTACCTTCTTTTTTTTTTAATTTTTTAATTTTAGTGTACATGTCATGTCTTGAGCTTTACAACAAGACTTTGCTAATATTGTGTATTAATTATGCTTTGATGAACTATAGTTTAGATTAATTTTCTTCTTTTATTGGAAAATGTTATTTGTTAGTATAAAGTTTGTTTAGTGGTAATCATGTTTATGTCATAAAGACATGTGATCTAATCACTCCATTATTTCCACTTTTCATTAACCGATTCTGAGTGAGGATTCATATAGTTGATCCGGACTTGTTTTGAGATTGAGTCATAGTTATTGTTGTTGTTGTCGTGGAGGGGGTGGAGCTAGGATACCAGAAGGGGGTTCGGATAAGTGAGGGTTCTTAAAGTTGATCCTGACTTGTTTGAGATCGAGTCGTAGTTATTGTTGTTGTTGTTGTGGATGGAGGCGGAGCTAGGATACTGGAAGGGGGTTCGGATAAGTGAGGGTCCATATAGTTGATCCCGACTTGTTTGAGATTGATTCGTAGTAATTGTTGTTGTTGTCGTGGACAGGAGGCAGAGCTACTAGAAGGGGGTTCGGATAATTGAGGGTTCATATAGTTGATCCCAACTTGTTTGAGATCGAGTCATAGTTACTGTTGTTGTTGTTGTTGTCGTGGACAGGGGTCCCTTTGCCAAAAAATTACACTATATATATGCAGTCAAAATTAGTTTTTTATGTACATATAGTAGATATTAAATCCCCTCAACTTCTTTGTACATTTACTTCTTCATGTTCTGAATCCTCTTAGTGAAAATCCTGATTTCGCTAGCGTTCATGGATTCAGTTTCGAGACGGATGTAACTTATATACACTGATAGTGTAATTTTTTATCTGTTGTAGAACGACGTCTGCCTTATTTTTCAGGCAACTTGTTCCACTGATTACCGATAGTTACTTGTAGTTATCTTTTAGGTGACAATATAGTGTAACAAATTCTCTTTTACGTTGTCCGTGTATAGAAGTTAAGCAGTGATCTAAGTTTTTTCCTGTATTGCTTTTGTGTAAACTAGCCAAGTGAGCAGAACACATATGCTGATATAGAAGCTGTTTACAAATGTCTAAAAGAGATTTATGAAGTGAAAGAAGAAGACATTATATTATATGGACAATCAATTGGAAGTGGTCCAACTCTTGAATTAGCAACAAAATTACCTCAAATTAGAGGTGTAATTCTGCAAAGTGCAATACTTTCCGGGCTTCGAGTTATGTATCGTATAAAGTATTCTCTCTGGCTTGATATTTACAAGGTTAGCAGAAGTTTCAGTTCAATAGTTGATCAAGTTTCTTCATTTATATGCTCAACAGTAACAAGTTTTCTTTCGGTTTTTCTGTTTTCTGTTTTCTGCAGAACATTGATAAAATCCCATATGTTAGCTGTCCCGTTCTTGTGATTCATGTAAGTTCTTGGATCTCAAGTATTACTCGTTTTGGCTTACTGAACTTTTCAAATATTTGATGTTTTAGAAAAACAAGTAGTAGTAGTTTAGTACTTTTGTTTTCCAACTGTACCTTTCCTGTTCCGATTAGACGTTAGGGGGAGATATATAGGGTAATTTACACGAATGCTATTATGGTTGAGGTTATTAAATGTCTTTCTTAAAGAGCATACAGAAACCTTAAAAGACAGATAATATGGATCGGAGGAGTATTCAATATGATCAGTATTGTTGAGAGCCGAAAAAGGGATCTTTTGTGTATAATCCTGCGTAATCTTGAATGTCTAGTCCATTAGGAACCACTGATTTCTTGATACATCATATTCATAGATTTACGATTCATGTGACGGTGTTGATCTACAGGGTACAGAAGATGACATAGTTGATATTTCACATGGTAAAAAGCTTTGGGAGCTGAGTAAAATGAAGTATGAACCTTTATGGGTAAAAGGAGGAAATCATTGTGACTTACAAGTTTTTCCTCAATTTTTTACTCATCTCAAGAAGTTCATAATTTCAGTGGAAAGACAATCAGATTATTCGAAAAATGTTGAGCTTGAAGAGAGTATAATTGACTTAGATTATACTCTTGATATTACGAACGAAATCAAGTGCAGACCAAGTATTGAAGAGATTGAGAAGTCGTCGAGAATCAGTACTGAACAAAAAGAGATCATTCCAATAAGGCCTAGCACAGACAGGAAATTGAAGCCAAGAATTAGTTTTGACAAGAGGGAAAAGCCAAGAAAAAGCATGGATTACTTTGGGAAATCAAGAAGTAGCACTGATCAATCTGAGAGAGGGCGGAACAGCATTGACCGGTAAAGAATTTTTACACTATCAGTCTGTTCTTTAACATCTCGTTTCATGTTATAACTAGCTCATTCCACTTATTATGAACGATCACGTATAGTTATCCAACCTCTATCTCTGTGTTCTAACATGTCTGTAGCAATTTACCTACCTTATTTGCCACATCAACGATGACCTATAGATGGTATTTTAACATGTTATAACAATTTACCTTCCTTATTTTGCACGCTATGAATGAAATTACCTAGTTACCTTTTAGATGATCTGATAGTGTAAAAGTCGTTCGAGTTGTTGATACTTTAACTTATGGTCTTACAATATGATTAATAATGTCATCATGCTGTAGTTTGACTATTGATTTTGAATGATTGCAGATTTGGAGACATGATGAGATCAGTAGCAATGTGCAATATTGACTGTTTAAAACAGACACTAGCAGAGGAGGACTAATACAACTAAAGTCTTTAAAAATTGTTATTAGTCGTGTCTGCAAAAGCAAATTTTTTTTAGTCATGTATGGACCACATTGATATATTATATCACTACCTACATGTTTATGATTTGAATATGTTCTTTGGACAGCCCCAGAGCAACGATAAAGTTGTCTCTGTGTGACCTATATAAGTCAGGGGTACAAGTTGTGGAAGCGGTCACTAACCCATATATTAGGGTAGGTTGTCTACATCACACCCTTGAGGTGCGGCTCTATTCTGGACCCTGCTAATACAGGATGCTTTGTGCATCATGTTACCCTTTTTAATGTTCTTTCTTTATTCAAATTTTTTAGTATTGGTCCCTACATATGCAGTCCATTCTTCAAGATTGCTAGTTCTTTTTGAAACATTCTTTATCATGCAAATGATTTATGGACCCCCATTACATGATTTTTGTTCTAAGCTTTTGTTTTTGAAGATTAGAAGATCTAAAAAGTAATAAACAAAAGGAATATAAAGTGATTAGAGAGCCAGTAAATGAAGTTTTTAATTATACATAGAAGAAGAATATTGCTTTTATATACTCTAGAATTTGCTCTTTTAAAAGGGGCCACAAAGATCATGATGATTTCATATGTGGTGTGACACCTTTAATGTCTATATTGTCAAGAGAAAAAGCAATATTCCAACATCTTGTTTTATAACAAACATTTTGGATTATGGTTTTGATTTGATAGCTTGATTAGTATTTCCTAGGATAAAGATGTAACCACCTGCATAATTGTTAGTACTTATGAGTAAGAAGTTAGTAACATGATGCTCATAACGGAGTTGAAGGTCTATCGAAAATAGTCTTTTTATTCAACAAAGGTTAGGGTAAGATTTTCGTATATCCTATCCCATGTATGAGACTACACTAGGTATGTTATTGTTGTTGTTACTAATGGTCAATGAAATGAGTTATGAACCATGAAGTTTCAGGTTCATAATTCAGTGGAGGCAAAAAATATCAGGCTATTTCTTTCAAGCTTTGATGGTTGGAGTTACTGAAACTTATACTGGTAAGAGGTAGCATGTACCTCATAGAATTTATTGACATGCATGCTAACAAATCTAAACACGATACACGTAAATTGACCTAAACACCACAATTATGAAAGAAACATCAGTAAAAAGTAAAGTGCTATATTAGATAACACACAAAATCACATGATACACAAAAAACAAGCAATATGTTTCACTTTTCAACTGTCCTGACCTAATCTTGATTTTTAATAGTGGGGTCTAATCAATGTTTCACTCCTTTTGTATACATAATTGGAAGAGTATTTTCCTAAGTCAGCATTTGATTATAGATTTTGAATTATATTTTTGGAGAAATTAATTTCCTTATATCGATGAGCCTTTCTTTCTTCTTAAATTGAATTTAATGATTAGTGTATATAATTGATAAATTATTCCTTCTCTTTCTTCTAAATTTCATTCCTTTTCATTTCTATTTGTTAGTCAAAATTTTGTTATCTTTGTTTATTGTTGTTGAAGCACAATAAAACAAGCAAAATAAGATAACAAGAATTTGATTAAAAATAGAGGCGGATATAGAATTTGTAAACTCCAAATGATACATTACTTTGAAGTATGTAACATTTACATAGATTAGCCCCTGATTAAGAATGTTCATTAAAGTTGTAAGGTTATTTTAAAGTTCTTTGATGACCTTCTTGATTGTCATCATTTTCCTCGTATATCCATTTTAGCATGTTATAAACTTTAAAAACTCTTTTACAGAATTTTACATGATATTTTTAAGCTTTTAGTGACAGATTGAAATCTAGTACTATATTATGGGGAAAATTACGCGAAAGGGCAAATATCTAGAGTATATTATATAATATAACTATAGTTTCAATTATTTTTAATCCATAGCTACAGTTTTGCGAATTTTTGCTTTGGTTTTCTAATTGTATAAATTCAGAATTTGTATAATTTGATCCATGAAGGTATAATTTCAGAATTTGTATAATTAGGTTCCTGATTGTATAAATCTAGAATTTGTATATGCTTACCCTAACTATTTGTATACTAGTATTTATGAAAAATTCATAACAAATTGCCTTGTTTGTATATTGGCAAACGAATTATACAAATAGAGTTATGAAAAAAAATCCCAAATGTACAAATATAGAATTGTATATACTTTCGGTGTTTGCATATTTGCAAGCAAAGTATACAAATGGGCAAGCGAAATATACAAACCACAACATCCATTTGTATATACTTATGATGTTTGTATATTCACAAGCGAAATATACAAACAAACGAAATATATAAACCACAACCTTCATAGCAAACAAAACTATAGCCATGAAGCACAATTATCAAAACTATAACTATAGACCCTTGTTAGATCTATTATGTTTGCTATTTCTAAAAGTTTCCCATTATTATAATATCTCTTTTTTGCACTTGTGTGACTGGACACTTGTAGCTCCAATCTTGATCCTTTTAACTTTTTGGGCCTCTTTTTGTATCTCCCAAGCCCATTTACTCAAGACTAACCCAATCAAGTTAGTTCATGCCTTAAACATCATAGACTCATAGAGAAAAGGAAACAAAAAGGAATTGGACTATCTTTGTGTACAAATAGATTCAAACGTCTGCATCATTAGTTGCTCTCAACTCTCAAAGCACTAATTATTTATCAAATTGGATGACCAATAATTTCAATATAAACCACCAATAATGATTTAAGATGGTAATGGAATAATAATTATTCTTTCATTAATTAAAATTATAGATTTCGAGTTTAATTCTGAATACAATATTGACTTTGATAGAAAATACTTTATCATTGAAATAGATCTTCTCAATAGAAATTGTATGGTTAATCAATCCATAATATAAAACATGGCGTGAAAATCACATAATCTTTCATTTTTTTTACACTTTAACCCCTTATTTTGTTGAAGAAACTCATTAAGGACACAACTTCATATTTTCTTAATTAGTGGACCATTACCTCTGCAGTAGAGGCTCTACTCATCCTTTCTAGACCGCAAGATTGAGAAGTTGAACATATGAAAATTGCTTAAACTCACAATTTTTTTTTTCCTGATTTCTCACTTGGTGTTTGAAATTTATAATAGAGCTTCGATTAAATTCAGATCGTGCACATGATTTAATTAAGTGATGCTCCCAATATAATTTTCTCTGTATCAGGGTGAAACATGTAAATTGAGAAAAAATATATAATTTTTAAAAATTTTAAAAAATATATCAAGATAATTGTGATTGCTGACATGGCAGCATCCTCACCTTATAATTCTCAAACACAAACTTCCAAGAAAATAAACTCTCCAATTGTATGTACACTTCTAGAATCCTCTACCCTCACCCTTAAACCCCTTTCTCCACATTTCAGGGTTTTTACACAAACCCTCAAGAATTCTTAGCCCAACCCCTTTATCCATACACACACACAAACACACAGTGAAAAAAACTCACAGAAACTTCAAGAATCATTTGTGGTTTTTTTCTCAAATAGTTTAGATAATGGCCCCTGTAGTAAGCAGGAGTTTGACTTCTTCACCTATGGCTTCAGTGCCTTACAGTCCTTCTTTTGTATTGGGGAGTGGTAGTACCAATAGGGTCTGTCTTAAAAGTACTTTCTTGCCTAGGAATAATATCAAGAATGGATTTTTACAATCTGGGTTGAGGTGGAAACAGGATAAAAGAGATGTTGGAGTAGTGGTTAGGTGTGAGGCTTCTGCTGTAGCTGAAAAAGAAGCTTCTGAGACTTCTGGGGAGACCCATGAGTATCAGGCTGAGGTGGGAATTTCATTTCCTTTTGTATAGTTTAGAATTTTGGTTTGTAATTTTCAGTTTTTAGCTGTATTGGGTTGATTTTCTTGAGCAGGGGGTCTATTGGAAATAGCCTCTGGGGTAGCGTTTCTTTGTGGAACTACACTGATTATGCTGTTGTAGCTATATTGTCAATTGTAACTAGTTTGTTGTTGAGGTATAATTGATTGAAGAGGAGTTGGTAGTTTGAATTCAGATGTTTTCTTTTAGGCAATCTATGAAATAGTCATTGGTATGGCTTTTAACATAGGAAAGATCCAATCTTTAGGCAATTGTAGGAGCTCTTGAATGCTTAGTTTTATTTAGCTGATAGTCCTTTGTCCACTTTATTGTTGCTAACTTTCTTTCTTGGATGCAGGTCAGTCGCCTATTAGACTTGATTGTTCATAGTCTATACAGTCACAAGGAGGTTTTCTTGCGAGAGCTTGTGAGGTGAGGACATCTCTCCCCTTTGTTTGCTTTTCTGAGTGGCAGAACATCTGTACACTACTTACTGCTACCATAGATATTTGTGTGGCCGTAAGTCATCTCACTAGGGGTAAAATGAGAAGTTTATAAGTTGAATTGTTTGTAAATATAGAAATATGTCATTTTTTTGGGATTGACTAAAATGAAAAGAGTGTCACATCAATTGTCCTTGGGACAGAGGGAGTAATTGTTTTCTTGATAACGTTAGTAATCATTGATCTCGTAGAGTTATGGATTAGTAGTTACTGCTTGTAGATGATATGATAAATGTTTGTGTTAAAAACCATTCGTCATAGAGTTTACATTTAATTCTTTGTGCTGATATCTGGCACTTGCTACCATACTTCAAATTCTTTTCTTTTCTGCTGAGCTGAGGGTCTATCAGGAATAGCTTCTCTACCCCACAAACGTAGGGTTAAGGTTTGAGTACATCCTACCCGTCCCCAGGCCCCACTTGTGGGATTACACTAGGTATGTTGTTGTTGATATCTGGCACTGGTCACTACCAAAAGATTGCCTCTTTTGGGTTTCCATAGGGTTCATTTTTTTTTTCCGAATGCACTTGTTGAAGTCTTCATGATGCTTGGTAATTGTCTTTTAGAATTTCATCTTTTCCTTTATGTGCTATTGCTAACTTCAGATTATTCTTTGGACAGTAATGCTAGTGATGCCCTTGATAAGTTGAGATTTCTGAGTTTGACGGAGCCCTCTTTACTTGGAGATTCTAGTGAGCTAGAGATTCGCATCAAATCTGATCCAGACAATGGGACTATTACTATAACGTACGTGGCTTAAGGTCTAGCTGCTGCATTAATGCTTTCCTAGTAAAGGGACTAATTTATTGATAATGCAGGGATACTGGTATTGGAATGACCAAAGAGGAGCTCATAGACTGTCTTGGGACTATTGCCCAAAGTGGTACCTCAAAATTCTTGAAGGCACTTAAGGTACTAAAGGGTATCTTCTGTTGTGGAGTAACTACACTAATTCAGACTTTGATTGTGGTTTGAAGTTATTGTCTCTAAGAACTATGCTGCTTTTCTATCTATAGGAAAATAAAGACCTTGGAGCTGACAATGGATTGATTGGTCAATTTGGTGTTGGTTTCTATTCTGCATTTCTTGTTGCTCAGAAGGTAGCCGCTCATTGCATATGGATATGGATTTATTAAAAAAAGAAGGCATTGTCATTCCATTGATTTTGTTATTTTTTGTCTTTCTGTACAATCAGGTTGTAGTTTCCACGAAGAGCCCAAGGTCAGATAAACAGTATGTTTGGGAGGCGGAGGCTGACAGTAGCTCATATGTCATCAGAGAGGAAACTAATCCTGAAAATCTTCTACCTCGAGGAACACAAATTACACTTTTTTTGAGGGTACTGCAATAATTCTGCTCCTTTCTCTTGGTAGCTTTGTGCCTATATCCCCTGGGTTGGGCATGTTATGGTCAATCTCCATTTTGTTTCATCTCCTTATTTTGCTGAACTACAGGTTATTACAATAAATTAAAGATAAGTTCCTAAAATCCATCGTTGACCATGTCAACTGATGACTTCTCTGGATGATAATAAGTTTAGAATTGTAAGACATTTAACTTGGATGGTCATAACCCTGTGATTTATCTTCTTCGGTGTGTTAAGACTTAAGATGGATCAGTAGAGAGCATTGTGAATGGTTTTGTTCCCTATGGTAGATGCAATTTGATAGGCTATCATCTTTTTGTAGGACGATGACAAATACGAGTATTCTGAGCCCAAGAAGATCCAAGATTTGGTGAAGAATTATTCACAGTTTGTATCTTTTCCAATTTACACGTGGCAGGAGAAATCAAGAACAATTGAGGTAAGGTTCCTTGTATAATCTAAGGCGGTATAACCTTCACCTCCTCTTTTTGATGTGGTGTTTTAGGAGAAATCTTTTGTGGTTTCAGCTTATGGCAAAACACTTTTTTTTCGCGATGGGGTGGGTGATTGGATAAATTTATAGTTTTGATTACCTGCAAAATTTTCAGATTCAAAATACCGTTGCCAGAGGCAGATATAGGGGGTCGGTGCTTAAAAAACTGAAACAGTTGTATCATTATTACAACATACTATAAATCTTTACCAATTAGAGGTTGTTTGTACTGCTTGTGTTTTGATTAAGATAAGTGCGTCTAATTTCCATTATCACGTAATAACTTTGTTTATTATTTTTACTGTTATTATCATTAATGTTGTTATTCTTATTATTCAACATACCATTGCCAGGGGCTGATTTGGGGGGTGGGGGTGTTGTTGCTGCTGATAAGTGTGTGTGACAATTTGCATTCTCATGTGAAAACTTTGTTGATTATTATTATTTTGTGGATTGGTAAGGGACAAGGGGGTTTCAACTTGTTTCGCTGTGCTAGTTTGTCATCTATTATTCATCTAATGCCTAATTCTCATTGGTAAATTTTGACAGGTAGAGGAAGAGGAAGAACCAAAGGAAGGAGAAGAAAAACCAGAGGTGATGGCTTCATACTTATGTGCTTACAGTGTATTCTTTTCAATACGTGTCTATGCTTCTTGAGTTTATTGACGATATTGGAATTTGTGCTCTCTTTTTCTTGATGATGACAGGAAGAAAAGAAAATGACAAAGAAGACCAAAACTGAGAAGTACTGGGATTGGGAGTTGACGAATGAGACAAAACCTATATGGGTGAGTTATTGACTACAGTGAGAGTTCTTTAAATTGTACTCTTTTTGTTGTATGTGATAGTTTTTTCATGGTCATTCTAGTTAGGATAATCCTCTTTTCCCCGTAATAAATTGTAGATGCGGAATCCAAAAGAAGTTGAGAAAGAACAGTACCAGGAATTCTACAAGAAAACTTTTAATGAGTTCTTGGATCCCCTTGCCCACACTCACTTCACTACAGAGGTATTCACTTTTCATATTGAATTGATGACTAGTCATTTGTCGTTTTTTATATATTGATGTTTTAACTCTGATAGAACAATTTGTGCAGGGTGAGGTGGAGTTTAGAAGTGTCTTGTATATACCTGGAATGGCTCCTCTTAACAATGAAGATGTCGTAAATCCCAAGACGAAGAACATACGCTTGTATGTGAAGCGTGTCTTTATTTCTGATGATTTTGATGGGGAGTTGGTAAGTTCTATATGTTAGCTCGATTTGCAACTTGTAGAAGAGATCTGAAGAGAATTGATAGTTCCTTCCTTGTGTCATTGTGAAGTTTCTCATTCACAAATTCGTAGTCTCTCATTCTTTGAGCTGTATATATGACGTTAATACACATGAAGAGAAGTGATGTTCTTGAATCATGTTTAAAATGTCTACTGCAGAATAAAATAATTTGTGTTAAGTGGTAGACAAAGAGAATGTGTAGTTTTACATCCCAGCTTTAAGCAATCCAAATTTAAATTGATGCCTCAGTGCTTTTGGGGGCCAGTTATAGTGCAGTGCCTTTGTTTTTTTTTTTCTAAATCAGCTGATGCTAGTTTCTATGCATTTCAGTTTCCTAGGTACCTGAGCTTTGTTAAAGGAGTGGTGGACTCAAATGACCTTCCTCTTAATGTTTCACGAGAAATTCTTCAGGAGAGCCGAATTGTAAGGAAAAGCTTTTGTGCTTGAATGAATTACATTTCATATGTCAAACTGTATTCTTGTTTAGCAATCTGCACTGACGTGGTGGTTGCTATGGTCAATCTTTCGAACTATCATTTGGTTCGATTGAAAAAGAAGAACCTGTTCTTGGACTGTAATGCATTTATTTATTTCATCCTAGGTTCGGATAATGAGAAAGAGACTAGTGAGAAAAACATTCGACATGATTCAGGATCTCTCTGAAAGTGAGAACAAGGAGGTAAAATATCATCAAAACTTTCTTTACCTTTGGTGCCTTATCAAAAGAGTCTTGAATTCTGTAAGAGCTCTGCTATTTTATTACAGGATTACAAAAAATTCTGGGAGAACTTTGGAAAATTTGTGAAGTTGGGATGTATTGAAGACACTGGTAATCACAAGCGAATAACCCCATTACTGAGATTCTTTTCTTCCAAGAGTGAAGAAGAATTGATAAGCTTAGATGACTATGTTGAGAACATGGGCGAAAATCAGAAAGCCATTTACTATTTGGCTACTGATAGCTTACAGAGTGCCAGGACTGCTCCTTTCTTGGAGAAGTTGGTTCAGAAGGGTATTGAGGTATGTACTTCATCCTAATTTTTTACTGGATTTATTTACCAAGTCTTCCAGATACCTAATAGGCATTAATATTAAGTCTCTGTTGTAGAGTTTTGCAGACGTATTCCCCTCCCCCTCCCCCTTCCCCCTTCCTTCTCCTAAAGGTAACAACAGATAACAAGAGAAACAGCCTCCGAAAAATGTACACAAATTGAATACTGTATGTGTCACCAGTCTTTATAGCTAGCAGGATAGTTAAGTGTCATTGAAAGTTTTCTGGTAGGATGTCCAATGAATGATTTTTTTTTTAATTTATGATTCTTTGTCCTTGACATCCAGACTGTTGTTTGGATGAATAGTTTCATTCTGTACCACCTTTTCTTGCTCCTACCTATGTCAGTTTGAACTTCCGCCTTTTCTTTTTTGGTTGTTGCAGAATGATATTCCATTTTCCATAATGGTCCCATTATAGTGTTTATCTCAATAAGTTATACGAGTCTTGCTTTTGAACTTGCTAAATTATTTCTATATAGAGGAAAGGCGAACTTGCTGCCAGTACATACTCCTCATTCGGCACTAAACAAAACACAAATTTGATTCTCATCTTAATCTGCATGTCATGTCATTCTTGGATGTCCAATGGAAGACAAAAACACGTAGCTTTAGGGAAGGCTGTGTCGGAGATCATGTTATCTGGCTTAAGTTCTCTCTAGACTACCCTCTGTTTGTACACACTCCTAACATTTGCCTGTGTTGCTGTGATATAGGTGTTGTACCTCGTTGAACCAATAGATGAGGTGGCTATCCAGAATCTACAAACATACAAGGAAAAGAAGTTCGTTGACATAAGCAAAGAGGACCTGGAGCTTGGTAAGCTCATATTTTCTTGCATTGACTGGGAACATAGTATAGCAGTGATTTCCTTCAATATTTTGTGTCTTCCCTTTGAAATTTTATTTCCCACTATGTGAACACTCAAATAAACAGCAGAAAGGGTATTGGGGAAATATAAATGAAACGGCCATTCAAGTTTGACCTGTTTCCAGAATGTTTAACATATTTTGCTCTCTGCCATTGCTTTCAGATGATGATGATGAGGTGAAAGACAGGGAAGCCAAACAAGAGTACAATCTTCTATGTGATTGGATAAAACAACAGTTGGGTGATAAGGTGGCAAAAGTACAAGTTTCAAAGCGTTTAAGCACATCACCATGTGTGCTTGTATCTGGAAAGTTTGGTTGGTCTGCCAACATGGAAAGGTCTGTGGGTTATTATTTCTAGAGTCTTTTTCTGTTTATTTAGTTTTGGAAATTGCAAGACTCTCGGTTGAAAATCTTCATTTTTGTGTGTATGAAATAGATTGATGAGAGCACAAACCTTGGGAGACACTTCAACCCTGGAATTTATGAGAGGCAGAAGAATATTGGAGGTTAATCCCGACCATCCAATCATCAAAGACCTAAATGTAAGTTTTCCCTGCTCAATCTGCATAGCTACTAGCTAGTTCCTTGATTTGGATTCTATCGAAGTTGTAGGTATCAAGTGTTGCGAAATCATATACTCCATCTGTCCCATTTTATGGTGCACTGTTTGACTTGACACAAAGTTTAAGAAAAAAGGGGAGACTTTTGAAATTTGTGGTCCAAAACACTCCTTGACCAAGTAGCAGTATGTTTACACTTGGGATTATCGTCAATGACCATATAGTGGGTGCCGGGTGAAGACTAGCAGTTAAGTTTCACACAAGTTGCCTGGGGTGTAGCAATCGATTTTGCTGTTGCTCATTTTCTTTTAGAAAAATAAAAACATAACATCTAAGGTCTGCGTACACCCCACTTGTGAGATAACACGACTGCGGCCTAGTTGTTGTATCCTTTTGTCGTTTTGTATCATAAAGCATACCAACAGTTTAATAGTTTTTTTCTTATACAACTAGTAGTAAATCTTAGTGACTTCACAAGAATTGTTTTCGTCCATAGAAGAAAAATATGGTCAAGTTTGACTAAGAATCATATGTACTTATCAACAATGGTTCTGTGGAGTTACTTGCAGGCTGCATGCAAAAATTCACCCGATAGTTCTGACGCCAAGCGGGCTGTGGAACTGCTGTTTGACACCGCATTGATCTCCAGTGGATTTACTGTAAGTACTGTGGAACACACCTCGTCTTTCCTTGTATTGCATAAGTTGTTTCTTCCTAATACATGAATTTAACACTGGGGCACATTGGAAACAGCCTGATAGTCCATCTGAGTTGGGTGGCAAGATCTACGAGATGATGGCCATGGCTCTTGGAGGAAGATGGGGACGATTCGAGGAAGAAGAGACAGAGGCATCAGAAGAAGCATCAACCGAGTCAGATGCAAGCTCTGCTGAAGTGGTAGAGCCACAAGTCGTCGAGCCATCTGAAGTAAGGACCGAGAGCAACGATTATTGGGAGTGATTCATAAAGTGTTTCTCTATCTTATTTAGGCTTTCTTTCCTGCATGTCATAAGAGAAGAGAAAGAATTTTGGTTGAGGGGAGGGGAACAAGAATGTTATTTTGGGGGGGGGGGGGGGGGGGCCTGGAAATTTAATTG